TAGTGGCACAATCAGCCAGACCTTTTTGAGTATATTAGTCTTCTGGTTCTTATAAGAACTGTTAGAGACAATATCTGGTTATTTTCTTTTTCAATAGTTAAATAGATACAGCAAAATAAATTTACAGTGCTATCTTGGGAAGTGCTGAATAAGAATATGTTTTCTAATTGCTCATATACTTTTCACTTTCATTGGAAGTGTTGTTTTTCTGATTTATACTTTTTATGTTATTGTATTTTTTATGTCTTTCTTTTATTTATTTATTTTTATATGATGGTGAGGATCAAACCCAGTGCCTCGCACATGCCAGGCAAGTGTGCTACCACTGAGCTACAACTGAAGCCCCGGAAGTATTATTTTAAGAGGGGCAAGAATACCAATTTCTAATTCATAAAGGTCAGCCAGAATATTGATTAACAGGAGCGAAAAGATATTTATTTGAAAATACTGTCAGGTAGTTTTTATCTGAAAGGCTGACATTCATTTTGAAATGCATTTTCTGTTGGGAAGAAGGTTTTATTAATGCCACAGTAATTAAACTTTCAATTGAAAAGAATGAGAATTAATTATTTGATGCACTATGTTTTGTAATGAAATCAAATTTTGTAAGTTCCTAATAGTTCCTTGTCTATACTAAATATATGCTTGTGAATTTAGCTTGATATGGATATGTCTTCAACAACACATGTTTGAATATAGCTGTTTAATATAAAGATGGTCCTTTATATGAGTTTTCTTATTGGAGCCTCATATAAACCCTGAGAGAGGTTATGACTGCCTCAAGGTTACACAAATATTGTGTGCAAATTCAGGCATAGAATCCAGATGCTAACTAAATTAATATCAATTTTAACAAATGTGCGTATGTTTTTGTGCATATATCAATGATACAAAAATAAATTATTATAAGGAACAAAATAATATAAAATCAAACTAATATGAAATTAATATAAACTCAGAGTTTTTGACAATTAAATCATGGTATATGCAAGTTCATTTTTAGATTGAAGGGTCTCTTAGGTTCTTTTCCATGGGGTTGCCTCTTTCCAAGAATTCCAATGTGGAACCTCAGCTCACCTCACATCACAGTGGACTCCAATGGCACATGGCAAGATGGAATGTTGATCATGAGGACGTGAAATAAATGAGGTTTCTGGGAAAAGGTGAACTTTGCTTTCACAAGGCTCACTTAGGACAGTTTTTGATTTTGAAGAGCAACTGGAAGAGTGTGTACAGTTATCTCATTTTAATCTCAAAACTAATCTATACAGCCATGAGAGCCATGGTCATAGAACAGACAGCCTCAGATTATCCTGTTGGTGGAGTCTCCTCTACATGTTTTTCACCCCCACAAGAAATCTCAGAACCACTCAATTTGCAACAAGCCACCCCTGATAGAGAAGATAGTATAGTAAAATCAAAAATCGACACCTCAGTTTTACACAGATGAGTTTAGGTAAATTCTCAGCCAGTAGTTATTGATGGCAAGATGACTTGATTTATAGAGTTCTTAATATTCTTTAGACCCTTTAGCAAGGAATTAACATTTATTGAGTATAAGTATACTATCAACACATTCAATTTCATGTGGTATATATACCTGAAATTATCCATTAATCCTGATAATAGCACTAAGTTAGCTATCATTATTTATATTTAGGGGTGCATTAACTATGGCTGGGGCTTAGAGTCCAGTTATACATACTACCACACAATCTCTCTACAACAGAGTGAATATGTATGGTAAGATGGAATAAGTGAATTAAGTCTAGTCCCAAAGGGCAAGGTGGAAACCACTGATAAAATGAGTATAAATTGTGCAGTTAATGTAAATCCTTTGTGCTTTTCAGCTTATATAAAAATTCAAATACTGTGTTAGTTAGTGTTTTGTCGCTGTGACAAAATACCTGAGAGAAACAAAACAACTTAGAGCAGGAAAGATTTATTTTGGCTCCTGATTTTAGAGGTTTTAGTTCATAACTGGCTGGTTCCATTGCTATGGGCCTGTGGTGAGACAAGAGCATCAGGGCAGACAGGGTGTGACGGAGCAGAGCTGCTCACCTATTGCAGCTGGGAAACTCAGAAGAAAGGAAGCCACAAGTGATAAGATATGATTGCCAAGGGCATACCCCAGAAGATCCACTCCTTCCAACTAGTTCCACCTCCTAAATTTTCCACCACCTCTCAATAGTTCATCCATTCTCTCAATGGATTTATCCACCCATGAGGTTGCAGTCCTCAGGATCCAATCACTTCGCAAAATTTCCATTTCTAAACATTGCTGCATCGGGGACCAGCCCTTCAATATATGAGTCTTCGGGGAAACTTCATGTCCAAACCATAACAAGAATTTTAACAGTACATGTAAGTAATTTATTCAAGCTAGCATGTAATAGAATAAACACAGGCCACATATTTGTTGAGACATAATGCCTCTTGAAATAAGATAGAATTTTTTAGTAATAACAAACTGTGAAAGTTTTAACCAAAAATATGGTAAAAATATGGTTTTATTTCCAAACTTAAAAAAAAAGTAATGTGTGAACAATAGTAATGAAATTGTCATGGAGAGCACAGAAACAATTGGACTTTAGTTTTTAATCAATTTCATAAATCGAGAATATTTTTTCTCTCTTCACCAGTGAATACTGGCATTATTAATGTGCAGAAAACTATGTCGTTAATTGCTTATGGTATTGGGGGGAAGAAAATCTGTTGCTGATGTTATATTCACAATACCATATTCTTGAATGTAAAAAAAAAATTGTTTCAATGTCTGTCAGAACATTCTTAGAAATAAAAAGAAGTTACTAGCCCATAGTAAGAAAATGCACTGAGATTCTGCTTTAAAATGTTGTTTTATTAATGATATTATAATATATGTGAGATTGATTGATGCCATTATGTAATAGTTTAAAATAAAGATCCACATTGACTTAGTTTTCAAAAACAGTTTGCAGTTTGGGTTCAAATGGAGTGATTTTAGGCCCAGATTTCTTTCTCTGTGCTAAATCTTTCTCTGCACTAAAATCTGGGTCACTGAAAAATTATCATCAATCTAAACTTTCTAGACTAAAAGATAATTTAATAAGGATAAGAATGATAGACTACTGCTCCTCTTTTTTTTTTTTTTCATACAAAGAATTGAACTCAGAGGTTCAACTACTGAGCAGGATCCCAAACCCTTTTATTAAGAGACAGGGTCTCACTGAGTTGCTTAGTGCCTGCTAAATTGCTGAGGCTGGGTTTGAACTAACAGTCCTCCTGCCTCAGCCTCCCAAGCCACTGGGATTATAGGCATGCACCATTGAACTGGGCAAGATTGATACATTTCTGATTAGCTCAAAGGGCCTGATGTTAATTATTTCTTAGAAAATTAATTTATTTAATTAAAAGCCTGGACTAAGCTCTATTAAACATCTGATTACCCAGTTCTTGCACACATGATACCTCAATTAATCCTTACAACAATTTTATCATGACTGATACTGTGATACCCATTGTACAGATGTAGGGATTAAGGCTCAGCAATGAAGTAGCTTGCTGGTAGATTTTACAATACTGGAAGAATCAGGATAAAACCTACATCTGTTTGACCAGCTGGGTAATATGCTGCCTCCTGGGCTGTCAATCTTGACCCTTTGCTCCAGGGTAGTAGGAAAAGTTGATTGACTCATTGCAAATTGCAAAGAGAAGCTTATCAATATTAAGCAGTATACTTATCAAAATATAATCATCATTATTCATGGATTCCTATTTGTGAATTTATCTACTTCTAAAAATATGTTTATAACCCCAAATCAGTACACATGGTACTTTCATGGTCCTTTGCCATCATGTGAAGACTAGGGAAAAATTTGAGTATCCGAATGCACACGTTTCAATCTGAGGTCAAGCAAGGCGACCCTCTGCCTCTTTGTTCCAGCTTTCACACTGTGAATAAGCATCCTTTCTCCATCTACCTAGTGCCATCTTTTTTCATTTCTGTGCTTTTCGTTGATGATTTTGCTATTTTAAAGGACCCCCAGGTGTAGTGGCAAAGTGCTTTTTAGCATTTCAAAGCGCAAGAAGGCTGTGAAGTGCCTTACTGACAAAATCCGTGTGTTAGCTTCATTCAGGCAAGAGTTACAATGGTGTTGGCTATGAGTTCAATTGTGATGAATTTACCATAATATTAAAAAAAAGAATCTTTAAACAAAACTACACATAAAACAAAATTATGTATTCAGCTGCTTATGAAAATGGGGTGACCAGAGGACTGCAGAAACCTGATCCTGTGTTCCCCCCTGTAAAACAGTACTTCAGTATCTGCTAGCTTATACTCTATAGAACATTAGCACGAACAGCAATCCTCAGAGGTCTGTGGTTTCATTGTTTCTGTAATGGCTTGTTTACAGAAGTGGACTTATTGCACTTGGATTAAAGTTTCACCACAGTATAATTTCACTGACTGAGCTAAAGCCTCTTGGGAGATTCACTCATTTTCTGTGAAGCACTATATTAAGTTGCTAATGCTGCTGTAACAGATTATCACAAATTTGGTAGCTTCAAAATGAAAATTTATTAATTTGCTGGAAGTCGGAAGTCCAAAATGGGTTTCACAAGGCTAAAATCCAGATAGTATCTGGGTTGCAGGAGGGCTCCAGCAGGGAATCCTTTCCTCTCCTTTTCTAGGTTCTAAAGGCTGCCTGCAGTCCTTGGCTAGTATCCCCTCACCCGCCACCTCTTCTTCCCCTGGCACACCTTCTCTGACTCTCCTGCTCTCCTCTTCCAGTTATAAAGATGTTTATAATTGAAGATGTCAGCTTCTAGCCCTGGAAATAATTTGTCCTGTCACCCAAATTCACTTAAATATGATATCACTATAAAGTAAAAGACATTTTTCTTTGCATCTTGGAAGAACTGTTAATTAAAGCCAGTGCTGGGGGTAGCATGATGCTCTTGTACCTGTGGATGCTTTCACTATGGTCTTATTTATTTATTTATTTTTCCATTCTTAGTCTCCAGACCCAAGGGAAACCATTTGTATGTCCAGAGAAGAATTCATGCATAGGATGACCGAGATTGTTGGTTGGGGCCAAGCAGAAGAATATGGAGAGCTCTTTGACAAAGTGGATGTGGCCCGGGAGGGCTTCATTAACTGGGACAAGCTGACTTCATTTATCCTGTTATCACTTTATGAGAAAGATGCACGGACAAAGGCAACTGTGGTTCCCCAGTGGAAGGACCTTGAATTCCTCCCAGGAAAACACAAGGACACCATTCAAAAAATAATTTTCTTAAAAAGTTCAGGTCATTATCTGACTATCAGTAAAGAAGGCTTATTAGGAATCTGGGGAGAAAATTTAAAGCTACAAGAAACACTTCCTATCACTTCAGATGCCACCAAACTGAAACACCTGTGGGTGACGTGTCTGGTTTCTCTGGAAAATGTAAACAAGGTACAAAGTCTTTACAAATAAATCTCTCTGTTGTTTTATATCATTTATTTATTTTCAGTGCTGAGGATGGACTGAGGGGGAAAATGGGGGAACAGGGCTTCTGATCAATATCAAGAGTAACCCCAGGAGTGACAGAGAGCTGCATTACTCTTGGTGCCTTTCATCTGACTTGGAGGGAATATAAGTAGAGCCAAGTGAGCTGCTCCAGTTCCTAGGCTGTTCTCTTGGGTACCTTAAAATGATACCACTGATAAGGACTCAGGCTCTGGATCTCTCCCACATGTGTGGCCATGCTGCTGTTAGCTTAAAGACCACCACTCCTTTCCCATTTTGCAGCAGAATCATGGATCCACATGCAGGCAATTATAACATATGGTACAGCTTAAAGCAATTATGGGGACATGGTTATCTGATTTGACCACTGTACTAGTCAGTTTCTTAATTCTAATAGATAGGGCCTACTCAGTCCAAATATCTCTGCATTCTTAATATATTAAACAGCAAATAGTAAATTTTATTATGAACAATTTTAAATGCACACACAAGCAGAGAGAATAGCATTAAGGATCTATTGATGTATTCTGGATCCACCCTTATAATCATCTTAAAGTCATGGCTAATCTTGTTTCATATATGCCTTCCTGGTTAAGATCCAAAGTACCAAATCATTTCATCTATAAATATTATATTCCCCTAATTGTCTTATGATTTTAAATATTTTGTTTGAATCAAGATCTAAGGTCTACATATTGTGAATCCTTCATATATCTTTCCCCGCTCTCCCATCACCCCTTTCTCTTTCTCTGTTACTTTATTTATTTATTTGCAGTATTGGGGATGAACCGGGGCCTTGGGCATGCTAAGCAGGCACTTTATCACTGAGCTACATACACCCTCACCCGGATATGTGTCTTTTGATCTATGCATTTTCCTTCATCTCTTTTTCTTTCTTGGATTTTTTTTTACTATTTCAACTGCACTTGTGTTAAAGAAACTTGATATTTGTCTTTGAGAGTTTCTTATATCCAGCAAATCAGTAGTCAAGTCTAAGGCCCCAACCAGTTTCAGATTTGTTTGCTTCATTTCATTCAGGAGGTACAAATGCCTGATTCTTTTTATGTTTGCGAATGTTAACATTTAAAGCCAATTCTTTCTAGACTCATCCACATATTAGAGGTTCCCAGATGATGATATTCTAACGTTGTCATTTCTTCTCCGTTTATAATATGGGATTCCTGTATAGAAAGAAACTTCTCTCATGAATGACCTAGTTATCATGCAGGACAAATCGCATAAGACAGGACAAATGCCCCGTTCTTTACTTTTATTTACCAGTTTTCAAAATAATGAGCTGTTTTGATATCCTCTAAAAGGATCCAAAGGGTCTGTGCATCTAATAGATGAACAAAGAGTGCTAATATCATTATTGTTACTGATAAATTTGAAAATTCATAGGTTTTAAAAAGTTGATTTTTTAAAAATCCACTGAATTATTATCTCCTGCAAAAACCATACCCTCTTTACACAGTAGGAACTAACACAAGTTATCTTCTGAGTCTTTTTATAACTATAACAGTCTTTGAAAGTTTCATTGCTTCCTGGTACGACAAGATGTTCCAGGATTGTCTTGTATATTTCCTGTGCCAGACCTAGAATCAGCCATTTCTCTGAAAAGTCGGGTTCTTTTTAGTAGGAAGTGTATGCACTACTGCCTGGAACCATAAAAAATCAGTGTCACTAGCTTCCTATGGAACATGCCCTGATTTTCTACTCCTTTCAAGATCACCACCAAGTTCCTAATAGTCCCACTTTAAGGATGAGAGAGTGATCAAGAAGTCGTTAATCTTTTTTGGGACCATGGGATGCAAATAGTGTTGCCACAACTTGTACACCGAGACAACTGGTGTTCAGAGCCTGTGCCTTAGTGTCTTCACTGCCTGCACAGTGGCTGCTGGTATTGTATCCATTTCTCTGCTAAGGATTCAGTACTAAAGCTTAAAAGGATTAAAAGACAGTTTAAAAGATTAAAACACAGTTCTAGTCTAGATTACATTTGTGTGCAGCATTCTGTTATCATCATATGATATTCGTCTTGCAGGGTTTCTTCTTCTTAGGACTGATAACTAAATCTTAGCCTGTCCTTTGTAGTCACTCTACATAGAATCTTCATATTGCCTTTCTGTTAAACAGTTTCATTGAGGCATAAGTAACAAACGATGCTACCAATATTAAAAGTGCCCCAAGTTGATAGTTGTTAATATATGTATGTACCCAAGAAAAACTAACAGCATGACAAAGATAATGAGCAAATCCATCACTTTCAAAAGTTTCCTGGCACCCTTTGGTAAGCCTCCCACCCCATCTCTTCTTGTCAGGCAAGCACTGATCTGTATTCTGTCATTATATATCAGTATGATCTTCTAGAGTATTATATAATTGTCATACTGGATGTACTCCTTTTTTTTTGTTTTTGGCCTAGATTTTTAAATTTGACAAAATTATTCTGAGATTTCTTGTGTTGTTAGGTGAAACCATAATTTATTTTTTTAATTACTCTTTATCTTTCTGTCATGTGGATGTATAGCATCTCCTTATCAACACTAGATAAGATCAAGTATTGTTCTTTCTTAATTTTAGCCATTTAAAAAGGTTTATATTGGAATATTGTGGTTTTAATAAACTTTTATAATTACTAACCATGTAATTTTCATATGCTTATTGCTACCTATATATCTACTATGGTTAAGTTTCTGTTTAAATCTTTTGCCCATTTTTATTGGATTTCTTTTCTTGCCTTAAAATAAATCCAGTGTGCTCTCTCTCTCTCTCTCTCTCTCTATATATATATATATATATATATATATATATATATATATATATATATATATATATATAGTAGTTGTAGACCGACAGCATGCCTTTATTTCACTTATTTATTTTTATGTGGTGCTGAGGATCGAACCCAGTGCCTCACATATACAAGGCAAGCGCTCTGCCACTGAACTACAGCCTCAGCCCAGATTTATTTTCTTATTGTTGAGTGTTTGGTATTCTTCATATATTTTGGGTGTATAGATTCATCAGATGTAGACTTTACAATATCTCATCCAATCTGTGTTTTGTCTTTTTATTTTCCTAATACTGCCTTTGGTTATTTCATTTTCAGGTTGTTTATTGGATGAAATACAACAGATTTAAAAAACAAAAACAAACACAAACACAAACCAAATATATATCCTGCAATCTTGCTGAACTTATTTTTTTGGTCTTTATATTTTTGTGGTTTTCCTGTAAGATTATGTCATCCATAAATGAAATAATTTAAATCTTTTCTTTCCAAACTAGATATATTTTCTTTTCCTTGTCCAATGTCTGTGGGCAGAACCTCTGGAACCATGCTGAATAGAGGTGATGAGAGTACACATTCTAGTCTTGTTCCTGAATTTAGGGGTAATGCATCCAGTTTTCCACCATTAAGTATGATAACAGCTGGAATTTTTTTTTAATTGTACATGGTCTTTACCAGAAGTAAGTTCCCTTTGATTCCTGGCTTATTGGGTTTTTTTTTCTTATGAAAATATGTTGAATTTTGTTAAATTCAATTTTTGCTATTTCTGTGATAATATAGTTTTCATACTTTAGTCTATTAAAATGGTTTCTTAGGTTGATTTTTTATTTGTTCTTTTTAGATATACATGACAGCAAATACATTTTGACATATTATATATATATATATATGGAGTATAACTTATTCTAATTAGGATTCCATTCTTGTGTTGCACGCCGTAATGTGGCGTTTCACTATGATGTATTCATATGTGAACATAGGAACTTTATGTACAATTCACTCCTCTGTCTTTTCTATTCCTATCCCCCATTCAGCCTCTTCATTTCCCTTTGTCTAATCCACTGAACTTCAATTCCTCCTGTTCCTCTGTTGTATCTTAGTATCCACATATCAGAGGAAATATTCAAGCTTTGTTTTTTGGGATTGGCTTACTTCATTTTGCATGATAGTCTCCAGATCCATCCATTTTCTGGCAAAAGTCATAAAGTCATTCTATTTTATGGCTGAGTTATATTCCATTGTGTATATACACCACATTTTCTTTGTCCATTCATCTGTTCAAGGACACCTAGGTTGGTTTGATAGCTTATCTAGTTTGAATTGAGCTGCTATGAACATTGATGTGGTGTCACTATAGTATGCTGATTTTAACTCCCTTAAATATAGAACGAGGACTGGGACAACTAGGTCAAATGGTGGTTCCATTCTTGATGGTTTGAGAAATCTCCATACTGCTTTCCAGAGTGGTTGTACTAATTTGCAGTCCCACCAGCAATATGAGCATACCATTTCCCCCACATCCTGGCCAACATTTGTTGACTGTTCATATTTTTTCTTTTGAAAAGTATCTGTTTAGTTCTTTTGCCCCCACAGCGTGGCTGCAAAGTGGCTCCTTCCTCTGTGCTCTGCAGGCAACTGAGAGAGATGAGCTTCTTTCTCGTACAAGCATAGTTTGCATCACATCATTCAGGTTAGTCTAGAAGTGTCTTCAATCTTTGATCTCTTCATACCCAGATATGCCACAGGCCTGCTAAAAATGCAGGTTCCTTTAATTCCCTTATCCCTCCACTTTGTTTCTGGGGAACCACTCTGGCTGGTACAGGCAGCAGCAGCAGTGGTGGCAGCAAGGAGGATTTCTTCCTTATTTTACTTTAGAACCATAGAACATAGGCCATAGAACATCTAGGAATGGACCATCTCTATTCTGCCATCTTCCTCTACCCCCCTAGATTGAATTTTGTATGTTGAAAAACCTTGCATTATTAGGATAAATATCTCTTGGTCATACTATGTAATGTCTTGGTGTGTTTTGCTATATTCTCTTCGCTAGTATTTAGTTGGGTATTTTTACATCTATATTCACAAGGGATATTGGTCTTTAGTTTTCTCTTATGGTGTGTTTGGTTTTAGTAGTAGGATAATACTGACCTGACAAGGAGATTTTATAGGAAGAATCTGAGAAGAATTGGCATTAATTATTCTTTAAACATTTGGAAGAATTTATCAGTGGAGTAATCTTCACTGCAATATTATTTGTGGGAACTTTGTTTACTCTGATTCAATCTTATTTGTTATAGTTCTTTCTCTTTTTCTCTGTGTTTTGGTTAGTCTAGCTAAAAGTTGAAAAATATTTTTGATCTGTTCAAGAACCAAGTCTGGTTTTGTTGATTTTCTCTATTGCTTTCCTATTCTCTATTTTTTAGATGTTCCAAACAAATTTTTATTATTTTTTCCCTTTTCTTAATTTAGGTTTAGGTTTTTTTTTAATTTAATAAATGCCAGCAATCATTGGCTTTATTTTGTTCTCTCAAGCTATTGATTATTTGGGCATATGGTGAAGCAGGAAAGGAAAATCATTTTCAGTTCACAAACTGCATTAATAGTGCAAAATCAAACCGCACTGACACTGTTAATTGAAGATACACGTTTAACATGCATTTGTCAGCACCTGGTAATGTCCTCTTCTTTGCCTGCTCTTGGGACAGACCAGCATTATGTGAGCAACAACACCTTATTGGTTTTCATGTGGCTTATGTGATGGTTTTGGTACAGTGAAGAGCAGAATATAATCACATTTCTCTATCCAATTATCCTTTCATAAATAATATTAAGATATTTAACATAATATCTTTAAATAGTAGAATTAATAGTTCCATTAAAGAATATATGAAAACAACACATATAGAATATACACACAAGAACAATTTTGTACCTTATACATAGTTAAAACTCTATAACCTTTGTTTTTCTTTTGACATGATTAAAATGTCCCTTTCTATGTCACCTGAATACATCTGCCATCTGTCTTCCAAGGATGACTCTAGGGTTTTGGGTCAGCTTCCTTCTACCTTTTGGAAATGTGGTTCATTTATACTCTGATTGCTATGTGTTTTATCAGTTGATGGAGCTAATTAAAGGGATGCCTCATTCTGTCTCTTGATATATATATTTACGCATATATAATTTTTTGTTATTAGCTATACATGATAGAATGTATTTTACATTATATATATATATATATATATATATATATATATATATATATATATATTATAACTTCTCATTCTGGTTGCACATGATATGGAATTACATTGGTTGTATAAGTATATATGCACATAGGATAGTAATTCATTCTGCTGTCCTTCCAATTCCCATTCCCCTCCCTTCCCTTAATTCTGCTTTTTCTAATCCAAAGTACTTTTATTCTTCTCTATCCACCTCCCCACCCTTTTTATGAGTTAGCAGCTGCATACCAGAGAAAACATTGGACCTTTTATTTAGTTTTTACTTCTTTTCTAGTTTCTTACCTGAGAAGTTAGATTACTGATTTGATATCTTTATTTATACTGGTGTTTACAACTACAAATTTCAATCTAGGCACAGGTTTTATTGGATTTCAGAAGTAATTGCAGTTGCGTTTTGTTTTCTTTCATTTTTTTTTCTATTTTCTTGTTGCTCTCAGTCCATTTGTTCTCTTCATTATTGCAAGTGGGGAAATTGTTGAAATGCTGATTTTTCTTTCCAGCTCTTTTAGTTTTTGCTCCATGTATTTTGGGGCTCTGTTGTTAGAAAAATGCAAATGTAAATTCTACCTTGTCAGTAATTATATTAAGTCTAAATCAATCAAACGGTATGATTCTTTACTTGAATAATTTATACATGTTTATTGATATTCTCTCTTTGATGAGATATCTGTCTCATAAATTTAGTTCTTTAGATATTGTTTCCTTTAGTTGTTTTGGCTATTTAAAAATTTATATTAAATTTAATTTACTGTCTTTTTAAAAAAATCATTTTATCCCGGAACTGGGAATCCAACTCAGGGCTTCCTGTACCGTATGCAAGGCAGGTGCTTTGCCACTGAGCTATATCCCAGCCCAAATTTAGACAATGTCTCATTAAGTTGCCAAGGTTAGCCTTCAACTTGCCTTAGCCTCCTGAGTAGCTGGGATTACAATGTTTGCCACCAAGCCTGGTTTCTTTATTGCTTTAAAATATTTATAGTATCTGAGTTAACATATTTGTCTAATAAATCCAACATGTGACCTTCTATAGGGATCATTTCTATTGACTGATTTTTAAGTTAATCATTTGCCCTTTAAAAAATAGTCTTTAGGATTTTATATGACTAAGAATAAAACTCCTTACAGTTTTATCAATTGATTTCTGTGAGCATTTCTATTTACTTCATAAAACATGGTTAGTAAAGGTTTGGGTACAATTGTGGGATGCTATAGCTCTCTCTGTATTGTCTTTCCCATGTGAAGGGCTTATCTAGCCTCCCAAGACAGAAGATGTTGGTGGTTGTGTGGAGTAGAAATAGGAAAAAGTTTGTTCAAATGCATTTAATGGAAAAAATTTCTTTTTTGGCAATAGTCCAAAGTTGGAATAAAGTTCATGTGTGCTACTGTGCTACATTTCCATATTGCTGTTAAAGACTTTCAAGAACGATGTCTGATTTGGAGATCAGATTTGTATATCTGCTTTGCATATTGATTTCACTAAATCCATCAGAAATAGTTGCTAATTTTTTTTTCTGCTACTTTAGATTGCAGTGGCTTTTACAAGTAAAGAGATTTGTTTCTATGATCTGCTGTCCAAAGAATTTCCTTGTCAATATAAACTCCAAGGCCTGAAAGGAACACCAATTTGCATGGATTATTGGTGTGATCCTCTTGATGCCAATGAATCAATTCTTTCTTTTGGGGACATAACTGGAAAGGTAAGTGAGCGAGGGATAAGACTGAACAGTATGGGATGTAATCACCAAACTGTAGCTCACGCTATCAATTAAAATGGCATCAGTGTGATCTCCTGATTGAACTACATTATCAATTATAAAGTCACACATTTGGACATAAAGAGATATATTAGATTATAATTTATCTTCTTGCTTATACAATCAAATCTTTACTGTGTTTTTTTTAGTCTGTGTATCACTGCATTTCACTCATTCTTTAAAAAAAATCTCACTAAGTATATACCATAGAATACTTAATCTAACAGATCCTAATTTTAATGAATGTTTAATATGAAATCTCTAAACTTATCTATCATAAGTCTTTCAAATGAACTGTTCTGATTTTCATTCGTAAGATTTTGAGATTCTCAGGGCCAGTCAACTAGGGATTGCTCATTTTTTATATCATGCAATTAAGGGAGAGATGCATAGAGGAGTAACACTGAAATCAAGACACTGGATTCAATGATTTCTTGCTTCTTATCAAATTCCATGTAACAAGTGAGAAATTCTTATTTACTGAATGACACTAGAATATGCCAGGGACCTCTCAAGTAGCTTAATTTGAACAATTTCCTTTCCTAATTTTGAAAGCTTTTCATTCTTGCTGTTTTAAAAGACAAGAGTACTTAAAAGCAATAATAAACTATTCTTGGAAATTGCTTTGCCAGTCTTATAATTGTTCTGTCTTTTACTATACTTGCCTGTATTCTTTCAATATTATTGAAGACCTTCTTATTAATTCATTATCTGTTCCTTATTAATCATAAAGAACCCAGAATCTTCTTGCAGCAATCACCCTGCCTATGTTTGTTTTTCTTTCAATGACTTAAGGTCCAAGCAATTGTTTTCACGGCAGCCTTGATCTCCCTGTTTGAACGGCCTGCTAGTTCATGTGATGACAAAGAAGCCACCATGACCATTAACTGGGCAGAGCTGCTTTCCGGATGTCACAGATGTTGCCATATTTTAGGACATAAACTTCACCATGGAGATTGGGTCAGACAAGGTACTAAGTTTGAACAGTAATGAAAGAAAACAATCACCTTCGACTTCTACATTTATATTCTTTGATGAAAATGTTTCACACAGAATGTTTAAGTTTAGAAACCCAATAATTGGTTCTCTGGAGGATTTGGTCTGGACTCTCTGCTATCCTCTGAACACTAGCAGAAATCACTTCTTTCCTTCTAAAATTTATGCTTCATACAATTAATTCAGGTGAACTGTGAACTAAAGAAACCCCAAGAGAAGAAAGAAAATTGTCATAGAATCCATTTAGCTTCAACCTGACTCTGATCATTCAGGGCTGCTAAATAAAAGAATTTAACAAGGCCCCTTACAGTCACACTTTGGTTTTCTTTATGTTCTTATGGGAAGTATATTAGCTTGACTGCTTTCATAATGAAATTGCCTTAATTTTCTTTTCTTCCATTTTTTTGATATACAGTGACATGAATTTCTTTCATCTAGAGTACTTCAGCAGTAATTCTCTCATGGAATAAGATTATTTTATAAATTAGCATCTGTAGCATACCACAACTTCTTTAAAGCTGAGTCACCAATGAGTGAATTAGTTTCATAATATGTTTTAATTTCAAAAAATTTGTATCCGATGTTCTAAGAATCAAATGTGCACTATATGTACTGATACCTTGGTACAGATACTAAGGATTGGTACAGATATAAGGATTATGTTAACTTTTTCACTTCTAATTTGCTACATTAAGAAATACTCACTAAAAAGAACTTTAATGAGATTAATGTTATTGGTCTGTTCCTGACGTAGTTTGAAGAAGAGGCAGTTCAAGTGAACCCGGCTGTTGGTTTTTGTTAGTTTAACCTTCTTTGGGTTTTAGGAACTTGGAACTAATTCTCTAATGTATGCCCACAAAGATCTTATCCTACGTGAGGAATTCGACTTTTTGCATTTTTCTTCCACAAAACTTACATCACGTTTTTTTATAACTTCCATCCATCTATCCTTTAACTTTGACATGATAGTACTTGGGGGAAATACAAAAGATGATGTGTTTTGGTCACTTGCTAAGTGTGACAGGCACAAATGATATGTTGAATCTTCTGAAATAAGAATTAGTACTAGAAATAACTAAATAGAGCTATTGCAGCTGCTTCCAAAAAATGTTACATTTGACACATAAACCCCAAACGAGACTATAATAGTAAAGCAGGGGTTCTTATAGTGGATTCTCTGAAGTTGAGTGTATTATTTGAGTTCCATGATCTTAAATTAATGTGGATAAATAAAGAGAAGTAGCTCATTTGATGCTTTTGAGAAGGTTGAGGATTAAGCTTTGAAATCTGTCAGTGAACATTTGTCTTTTAAGATGCAGAACAAGAATTGTTCTCTAGGTCAATGTGAATTTGCTACTTACTAGGTTTCCATCATCTTGTTCTGATCTTTGGTTTCTTTATCTGTTGATAAAGAATGTAGGAATATAGCTTAGTTGAAGCAGAGATTATATTTATAATCTAAGGAATCCAATGTGAGTCTGGTCCCTAAATCATTGCATATTAGGAAATAGCTACAGATGTCTAATATACATACATGTGCAATTAAATATACATTATTAAAATCTTTGCTGTCTTACCTGGATTGCATATTTACTAGCTCTTTGAATCAAATTGCATTTTAATCAAGTAAATAATCTTCTGGGAAAGTAGCTGAAATACATTTATGTAACAATATATATTTGTAAGAATAAATATGTGTGCATACTTATTTTAGCCAGTTTATTTGAATTATGGAATTGAAATACCAATCAATCAGAAATTATTTATTGATATTCTATGTGCTCTTAAAAAACTATCTTAGGCATTTGAGAATGTAGAAGAAAGACTAATTATGGGCTTAACTCTCAATAAGATTAATATCTGACATAAAATTAACACTAATATAAAATATTTCATTAAGTCATTGTATATGGTAATGAATATTTACTAAAAATTTAAACAAAATTTTGATTTGCTGTAGTTCTTAAGAAAGAAAAGCCTTCCAGAGCACCAACATGAGCAGAGATTTATAAAGAAAACAAAACACAACAACAACAAAAATAAAAATTAAAAAAGAAGGAACAGCTATGAGGAAAAGCTTCAGAGATACAACTTAAAGAAGAACTTAAAGGATGGGGAGATGGTGGAAAAAATAGAGAACATGATGAACTTGAGTAAAGGAAGACAAGAGACATACTTGGCAGAGGGAGGATTGGACATGAATAGAACAGACTGAGTACTGAGGAAATAAAAGTGAATAGATAGATCAAACGGGGACATATGTGGTAAGATCTTAGCAATCAGGCCGAGTTCCTATTTGGTACAGAATGAAATAGCAAGGCATTGAAGGTTTTTGAGGATCTGATGCAGAAGGCATTTAGGGAAGGTGTCTTTTGTAGTTCTATACAGCACAGGTTGGAGGAAAAAAGAACTCACAAAAAACAAAAACCACAGTCAGACTGGCTCATTAGAAGGTTTTTGATCCTGAGAAAATGGAAATTGTAGAGCAAAGACAGAAGCAAGCTATCTTCTGAACCAAGAATCTTCTGGATTTCAAGTCTGAAACTGCAGAATGATGAGCCATTTTAGACTGTTAAGAAATTTCACCTGGTGGAGAGTTCTCTATTTGCAGGTCATAGATCCTCACCTGAGCCAAATACTCAGACTTTTCCCAGATTATCTTCTCAACTTTGATGACTTCTGCAGATTTCTTCACTCTGAGATAGTCCAGATCCTGTTGTCAAAGAAAAGTCTTTTTTAAATTTTTACCAGAATGATTCTTGACACTTTCTTTACCTTTTGCTACTTTTGTTCATGATCCATCTATGGAAACAGACTTTTCACTGAGTGATATGCAAGAACATCAATTTCCGCTTTGCTCCTGGACTCTTCTTTAAAACAATTCTCTTTGATGCTGTTCAAACTGTGAACCAATCATATGGACTTTGGTACCCATGGTAGAATTTGAGTCCTTACATTCATTACCCTCTCTACTCCAGGAAAACAAATCCAATGCCTCACATGCCAGTTACACTTATATAAAAATAGAAAATAAAAAATACCCTTAACTATGAAGGCAGTATTTCTTTTATTCTCTTTAGTGTCTATGGAGAATAAAAGAAATATTGATAATGAAATATTTTATAATATTTATTTTTAATTTAATTATCATATGCCTTTGTTTTTCTTGGTGTATGTGTGTGTTGCTTAGAATTCATTGAGACTCTTGGATATATGAATCTATGTCTAGTTTAACTTGAAATTTTTTCTGTTATTGTTTTCAAAGTTTTCTCTCTCCGACCCATTTTTTCCAAGGCTCCTAGTTATCTACCTTTCCTTAAATTTCCCAACTTCTGGCTGCTTCACCCTCTTCAAACTCCAATCTTCAGCTCTTCATCTCAGGAAGTTTCTGAACTCTGTACGGTTTCCCTCTTTGTGTACCCATGTTTGAAACTTCTTTAAGGTAGCTGAGGGTGATTGCAGGGCTCACCTCATTTGTTTCCCTTCTCTTAAGCTTTCTAATTCTTTGTTACCTGTTGTCAAATGCCTGGAAAAACACTGTTTGTGCAGTTTTCTAGTTGTTTATAGGGGGAATTAAATTTAGTTCTTATTACTCCATCACGGCTAGAAGAGAAAATTAAACAGGATGTTTTTAAAATACTGAGTATGCAACAAATATTTGTCGATAATTTAGTTTCTTCCCTGAAATCTTTCAGTCCCTTTAACAGCCCTTTACCTACCCTGCATATGGGAGCCTTTAAGTGCACTTTGCCCGACAACACTTGTTAAGTAGCTACTGTGTAACAGGCACAGTGCTAAACACTGATAAATTCAATGGACTGTGATGTATGGCTCAGTCCTAAGTAACTGACCTTCCAATATGCTCACTAAGGAGAATTTTAAGATAATTATTTCAAGATTTATTTATTATCATGATCATTTGGAAGTGTTCAAAACCCAGCAGCCTCTCAGTAACACCTACAGAGTGTCCATATGCACAGAGCATTGTATACCAAGTTCTCTGTGATAATTGTGGTAGAGAACAATGGGCAACTTACTTGCCAAAGGGTGCTAGGTGAATGAATGTCCCTGTGAGCTTGGTTCAGGGTAGAAAACAATTGGCAGTTTATCAATTTCATGCGGAGAAACTAGACTGTGTTTTGACATAGGGAAATGCCAAACTACCTGAACTCATAAGAAAGAATTTCATTAATGTTTCTTTTTCTTTCTTTCTCTTTTTAAAATATTTTATTTATGTGTCTAATTCATGACCATATTAATTTACTTTGTGAAAGCTTATTTGATTATGTAAAAAAAGTCATTTTGCAATTTGGTTGTCAAAGGTCTTGGATAAATTATTGAATGAATATTATTGAAAAATATTATAACAAGTAGAGAGAGATATCAAAAGAAATTATGCTTGATATTTGTAGAATTCTTTTTATTATAAAACAAGGACTTATTTATAGTAAAAGAAAGTGATTGATATAAGAAAAACAATTAAAAATTATCTTTAGTTACATACTATATGAATGTATGTTGAGAAAAAGGCAGAAGAGAAGATTATTCAAAAAGAAGAAAGTAAACGAGTAAAGGAAGTGAGTTATCTATGTAAGATTTATTTTTATCTTCTTTCAAGTTGTGGATCAGGCTCCATGATGGTCACCTGTAATCCAGTGGCTTGGGAGGCTGAGGCAGGAGGATCGTGAGTTCAAAGTCAGCTTCAGCAACTTAGCACAAGGCCCTAAGCAACTCAGCGAGACCCTGTCTGTAAGTTAATATAAAGCCTGGGGATGTGGTGCAGTGCTTAAGCACCCCTGAGTTCAATCCCCAGTACCGATAAATAAATAATCAATCAAGTTTTACTTTTGAAGCTCAAATGCTTCTGAAAGGGGAACCTACTTCAGTCTTGACCAGCAAATGCGGAACTATTCTTAGATATAGCAATAAAGATAAGAAGTTTAAATATGCCTGTTTGTTGTTATTTAAAGCTGG